GCCGCGAAGTGTCTAGGGCCCAGTATAAAGGGTGAATAAGTTCGCGGGACATCGGCGGGTCCTAATATACCTTCGGTACCCTCTCCCCAAAGTCATTAGCAAAATCGTCGGTTATGTCAGGCGGGAAATTTTCGCGGGAGATTTTCGCGGGAGATTTTCGCGGGAGATTTTCGCGGGAGATTTTCGCGGGAGATTTTCGCGGGAGATTTTCGCGGGAGATTTCTGTTATCGTAACACGGTATAATTTATCAATTTTTACAATTTTGTTATAAATTTATACTTCCGACCATTTGTTATAACATTGCATATAACAATTTATACGTTTATACAATATTCTTCAATGGAAACATAGGTTTTAGCGTTCTCGTTACTTACTCGTGGTTAAATTAATTTTGCAGGGATTAAAAATCAGGTTGACCTGTGGTCGTAGATTAAAAATAACCATAGTACAGTTAAATTTATCTATTTATTAACAGTGAACGTGTTAATAAGTAAATGTTGTTCAAATTATGTTGTGTTTGATATCATTTTCATCAGAAAAATCTCACCAACATGTTAAAAAAAATTGCAGATGAAAAAAAGTAAAATTAAAGAAATTATATTTTTCTATTATGATTTGTCGAGCCGTGTAATCTCGTAAAGGAAACCGACTGGTGTAGCGTTACACGCTTGAGTGACTACGAGCCAGATAACATGGTCGCAGCAATGACGCAGACCTAGGCGTAGGACCATCTATACTGTCACTAGTAGAATCCAAACTTACTGACTCTTGTAGAGAGTTTACTGTAGTGGGAACGAGTACTGTTCAACAGTGGGAAATATAAATATGAATATTTTTGTAAATTATTTTAAACGCGAATAAGTTGATATAAGTAACAATTGTATTTGCCATTATCTCCTTATTTTTGTACGTTGACTGCAGTAATATCGTGATTGTTTTACAAAATTAAACGGTACATTATGATTGAGTATTTACATGCACTTACACTGGTCACTCAGAAAATAGTTCGCTACAATTTGCGTTAAGTACATATATAAATTGTGTATTTTACGTAATGTAATAAGTGTTATACAGGGTGGGCCAATAACTCTGCTCACCTGGAATATCTGTTATTTTTATAATCCACCAATTCCAATGATTCCGATTCCTGTTCTACTGAGAATAAACAAAGTATAGCATGTTATTTGAAAAAATAGGGGTGACAAAAAAATTATTACTAACATGATACGACGGTCCCCTCTGTAGTATACAACTTTTGTAAATAAAGTTTTTTCACATCTATAAAAATAACGGAGGTATTCCATGTGAACAGAGTTATTGGTCTATCTTGTATGTACGAGGGTAAGTCAATAATTATCGAAAATAAGGTTATGACTTTTTACTGAGACTATACTCTAAGTTGTACGAGAACTGTTAAATGTCACTTTAGATATTTTCATACACAGATACAAATTTTTCCATTTGAGAAAATAAGTGATAACTATTTTCATTTTAAGGAACATATTATCTTATTAAATTATATCCTAATTTATTTCCATTATAATACTAAGCTGCACTATAGTATTTGGGCCTTTTTTTATTATCGTGTTGGATTTAACCTTCAAAATCTTTAAAATAGATTATTTCCTTAATCGTTAAAAATAAAAATTTCAAGATTTGCATTTAATCGACAATTAACTAAGGTGTACGTCATGATTTAAATTTTATAATTAACAATTAATTAAACATTAGAAAAGTAAAAGTAGCAGGAAAGTACTTCAATAATTTTATCCCTTGTAATAAAGTATTTAACGTTTTAGAGGGTACTATTACTTCTCAGTCCTATGTCTTGCACTATTTATCCAATGAATCTTTCCTTAAGAAACTGATATTACCAAATAGTACAAAACAAATTATGTGAAAAATACTCGTAATTCATTTCAGGATCGTTTTTATTCTTTAATTAGCAACAAAGAAATTTCAAATCCTAGGAAAAGTCTTATAATAATATCCCAGTTTTGAATAGGTTAATTAATTCTAATAAATCTCGATTAGGAATTTTCTAATCAATTCTCTTACAAATATAAAACCCAATATCGGTTTAAACTAATTAGCCTCGTTGTCTAATTCAGGGATCTTCGAACTGACCTTCTTCATAATTAGACTGCCAAATTAGAGTTCCTTTTCTCAACATCTCCACAACTCGTGTTACAACACGACTCGGGTGGTAATCCCCGGGGCAATAGACTCGCTGAAACGGCTTGTAAAACGTAAACGGTGAATAACCAAACCTCTTTGGTTCTTTATATTCTGAAAACAAGTCGCATCACTTTTATTATTTCTGCGTTTATTATCTTTTCTAGTGCTAATATGAAAATCTTGATCCATAAATTCTTCTGATTATTAATTTGAATATCAATTCATTACACAGTATAACGTCGCCTTGTGGCTACGGAGCAGTTGCGTATCTTTATTACATTTAAACATTTACTTTGTTTGGCAGAATTTTTGATTGTCTCAGGGAAAATGATTAAATTCATAGAATTCTACTTTACCGTTGGGATCAAATTCATCAGCTGAATCTTCTGAGGTGTCCCAACGTTCGTTCATCAACTCGTTATATGTTCCTTGTGGTCTAAAACGAGAATATATCACTTCACAATTGTGAAATTGATCAGTGAAAAATTTATTGCGTAATTTAAAAGATTCGTGATATCAAATTCTGGATAATCTAAGTAACTAATTAACAAATTAACGAATTCTGGTAATCTAAGTATTATGGGATATTTAGCCGTCGACATTTTTATTCTGTTTGTTATAAACTTTTTGCGTATGATTTTATAAATCGAATTGAATTATAACACATTGTGAAAGAAAAATAAAACAAAATATTTGTAGAAGAAAATGTTCAACAATTTACAGATAATCGTGAAGAGCAATTTATTGCTAAATATCAGTTTTATTATGATATACATATACTTTTTCAAAGAAAAACATTATAAGTATCTTTCATATGAAAATATATTACAAATTTAAATTAAATAAAGAGAATAATTTAAATCTATTATTTTTGGCACATATACTAAAGATGTAAACAGTTTTCTACATGATACATAACATTTATAGGCAAAGTTTTTATTTAGCTGTTTAATTTCTATAGAACTTACAAAAGTTCTAAATCCTGTTCTTCTCTTGATAAATTACTCTCGGATGTACTTGACAATGATGAAAAACTTTTTCTGATACTCGATAATATCGAAGAACCGCATTTATGGTTCGGCGATGGCTTCAATTTGGGTCCACAAGCAGATTTACAATCAAACAAATGAGACCAATGTGCTCTCAAAGTTTCCCTCATATTCCTAGTAAGCTATTGATTTGGTTTAGTAATATAAAAAATCCACGGTTATCTTTCAGAAATAACCGAAATTAAATGTTGAATTATACAAAAAATTCAGTAGCATGATCTTCAATGAAATTTGGTTCACTTTCAACCATAAAATTATATTCCTTTTATGTTCTTACCAATAAATATTCGGTTGAGACGTAATTTTGTTCAATATCCAATCCTACTAAACTCTTTAACCTCCATATCAATTCTGGTATTATTTCAAAATTATTATTGTATAGATCTAGGTACTCCAACTTATGTAATGATTCCATGCTATTAGGTAATTTATGTAAACGATTATGACATAATTTCAACTGTTTTAATGATGTCAATTCTCCAATATTTTCAGGTAGTTCCTCTAAATTATTCTTATCTGCTATTAGTTTGGTCAAATTTTTTAAGGTACAAATCTCTTCTGGCAAGAGAGAGAGACAGTTGGAACTTATATTTATATAAAATAAATTAACGAATTTGTTGATTATTTTGGGCACTACTACAAGGCCTGTATTGGATATATGAAGTTCTTCAAGGCTAGATGGTCTCTTTTTGGTTGCAATAGGGATAGTACAGAAATTATTTTTGAAATCAATTTTTCTGTTTTCAATTGTTATACTTTTGTTTTCATTTCCTATTATTAGACTCTCAAGATTCATCATTCCTGTGATTATCTTTTCCACCTCTCTGTGATTGAGATAACACTGATTTATAGATAACTTTTTAACATATGATATAAATGACTTTTTTGGTAGGTTAAAATTTTGAAATCTGGTTTTGTCCAGTGACACAACTTCAAGTTTTTTATACTTGGAACTCAGTATCCATTTTGGAAATGATGGACAGTTACCATTTCTGTTTGCATGAAACTGTATTACCTCAATGCTCTTGGGATATACATTCAATTCTGAACACAAGTTTTGGCAGAAGGTAAAGAATTTTAAATTTTTCATTCCCTTGGCTATACAATTTGGAATTCTTTTAAATCTATTACTGTCCAGGTAACAATATTCTACATGATTTAACTTTGCACATGAATTTGGAAGATCTGTTAATCGATTCACACTCAGATCTAAGATTTCCAAATTCAATAAATTTCCTAATTTATTTGGAACTTGTTTTATTCGATTTTTTGATGCATATAATCTCTTCAAATTACTTAACTCACACACTACATTTGGCAAATAAGTGAATTCATTGTTTTCTAGATTTAGTTGTATCAGGTTCCTTAACATATTTAAAGAGTTTGGCAAATCATTAAGTTGACTATTGTTCAAACAAAGATTAACTATATTTAATACACTTTCAGTGAATTCATTAAGGAGATTTTTTTCTAATAGAAGCAGATTATCTATAATCTGTCTTCCTATTATGTCTGTATTTTGCTTGTTTATTTCTTGTTCTAGGTTTATGTTCAAACCATTTTGGTTAGTAATGTGACACGAGGCATTCTTCAACAATGTATCACTATGGGATAATCTTACTAAACTGTATTCTTGTGCCATATTTAATAAACAATTTAACAGTTTAATCAGTATTGTTTTCTAAGTAACAGCTATATCTGTTTATAAAAAATATATGTAATTATACATTTTATGAAGAAAAAACATTATTGGTAAATTGTCAAGACTTTACATATTATATGAAATTCAATTTAAACTTCTTAACAGAACAAAGTTAATATTGTTTGAACTCGACTGTCATTAGGAATGTTTATAATATCCTATAAAGATATAACTTAAATTGTTATACATTAATAGCTAAAGATTTCTCCATATTTCATTCGAAATTTATTTTGCATATATACATATATATCACTTTAAAGACATAAATACTGAGAAATTAAGAAGTTCGATATAATAATTTAGATAAAAGAAAGATCATTGAATTTAAATGTAATATAATTGAATGCAAATATAATGTAAACATAACCTATTAAAGTAATATTTATTTTTTCTTTATGCACAAATCTGTATATTGTAAATTATCGTATTAATATTTTCACGACACTTCACAAATACTTAATTATTAAATTGAAATTTACAGATGAATTTATAAAATAATTAAAAAATTTGAAGTAAATATTTTTTACAACAATTTTTATTATTTAAAATAAAAATTTCGATTAACACACAGTTTTCTTCAAAAATGCATTATTTAATGTCGTAAAGTAGAATATAAGTTTAATAAATTAAATGTTAAATTCAAATGAAACGTGAACATAATTAATAAAAACAAGATATTCAAATTGTAATACTAACGATAAGGATGAGTAACACCGATATAACTTTTTCAGTAAAGGCTTCGAAATGAGAAGACATATTTTTCTTTTTTATACGTAAAACAGGGCTTGCAGAGGCCAGCTCATTTTATTTAGGAGACTTATATTTCTGTTTTGTACACATATGCATATTTAAAGCGCTGTATACAATCTTTAGAACGTCGTCAAATTTTTTTATTAATATGTTTTATCGTTACATTCCATTTTCACGATCCCTAATGAGATTTACAGATTCATACGATTGTTTTAAATAAAATCGACGTTCAACAATTCAATTTCTCTTTTTGCAGTTGCTCGCAAATTTTGTCGAGTTTATTCCACCTGACTCGAAAATAATTATCTTTCTGCGAACATTTCAAAAAAGTTTCGATGAAATTGCAGAACATTAAGGTGAATATATGTCGTAGAAAATTGCACCCTGTTACTTTTAGAAATTAAGTACCTTAGTAACATTAGTGAACGAGACTGATTCGTTCGAAAGTTCGTTTTCATACCGTCTTACATCGCAAAAGGTATGCGCGTGTATTTTATGCGTGTTCAAATGTTAGATGAATAGTGGTTGTTCGATGGAGGGACTATTTATCCGATTAAATGTTTTTCAACAACACTTTGAGTTTTTATACATGCAGTATACTATATATATAATATTCCATCAACGTATTTGTTTACTCGTTACTATATTCACATATTTCCTCCCTCGTTTGTGAACGTACATACGTTAGTAAAATTCTGTAACTCATTATCCAACCCAGACAAAATAGCACTCGTAATAGAAATAGGAAGAAATATAAATCAATTCGTTTAGTTATGATCAATTTCAAGGAAATATACTATATTTTACATGAACAGAAAAAGCGAGGTTATTTTATGTGTTGTGCACTCTGTTTTCTATTACAAATACTACTTCGATTCGCTTGTATTGTTAACCGTAAATAATATCATGATCTGTCTTCATCGTAAAACAAGAGTTCGCATGATGCGTAGTAATAATACAAATCGTAAAATAATCATAGCGATAAAAATAATATAGTGCGCAATATAAACTAATATGTGGCATAGGAATATGTTTCTCTTGAAATATGCGACTCTGATCGTGAGTATGAAAGTGTAATATAGATGGTAAATGTGTGTCACTGTTAGCTTCGATCGTTATTCCTTTAAAAGAGTACAACAACATTTAAGAACCATGAAAAATACAGCGTGGAACTTCTTTATATTTTCTAATGTTAACGTTAAATTCGGTTTAAAGATTGCACGAATGGTTTTTTTTTCCACTGGAGAAAAAGGAAAGAGATAAGAGGAATAGTAACGATACGTACCCTAAACGGATAATCAATCCTTAAACGTTTTTAACATCGTAATAATTTAATTTTGCTTCTTGCACACGGAAGGAAGTTTCCGCATTTGAGACTCATCATCATAAGACAATACATTTCCGTTTTTTGTGTCGTTCTAGTCTATTATTTAATCATATGTTTGCACACGTGTACGCAACAAACACTTCCTGCACATGTGTGTCTTTTGTGTGTTGTACAACACATTCGGATTAAATGTATACATTAAACTATTTCTTAAATTTTGAAAATACAAAGAAACTTGTTTATATAAATAATTTTCAGGTTAGAGATACAACGATAAAATTGACGATTTGTCGTTATGATTAGCTGCCATTAAAATACTTTTTTAAATATTAGCTTCTTGTGAAATTCTATACTACATTAGTTAGGCAAAGTAACGAAAGAAATTATAATTCCAAGCTGAAAATGATTACTAACTTTTGTAGAAAATATGCATTAAACATTTGAACGATTCGAATAATACAGTTAGTTAAAGTTATCTCATTAATTTAGTTGATCGAGATTCCTTCTCCTTGAGTTTAAACATTTGGAATTTAGCTAACCTGACAAGTGCAATAGTTCGAAAGAAGTACAGTAGTGAAAATAACATTGAAACTATATGAACAATTACATTTCGTTTTTAAACATTATAGGAAGCAAGAGTTTGTCTGGTGATTATTTTCGATGATTAATTCCTTGTTACTAAATTTAGCATTCAAAAATAATTACAATTTATGCTATAATAAAAGTATACAAATGAAAACAGAGAAAACAAGAAAAACAACACTGAAATACGTTAATTTTTTACTTTCTTCCTTTAAAGTAGTGCAGATGTCATTCGATCAAAATTGACATATGTAATAGGCCACGAAATAATTCATTGTGTACGTTTAAACCGGACATACTGTACATAATATGTACATACTCTGCAATGTTCGTATATTTATATTGTAGATGCGTATATTGTTTCTTACGTTCTCTTTCTTTCGGCGACACGTGTATACCCGCTCAACTGCAGTGTATGCACACACAACGTGTGTGCAGAATATGGTCACTTATAAAATTCTTTCAATTAGAAAATATATTTCCATATATATTATATGTGTGTATGAATGTATGTATGTATTTATGTGTTTACGTATGTTTATAGATAATTCTGCGTATGTGTGTAGATATACATAAGATATACTACATAGAAACATAACTCAGATATATATACACTCTCCTTTTTTATGCTTATTTGTATTTTATGGTACGTACAGTCGCGTGTATGCTTAGAAATCCTTAGTAACTCGGCACGAACAATGAAAATCACAAGATGCGTATTGTGTAGGATTCTTTCCACGATATCTAAATACGATAAGGAAGTACTCATGTGAAAGTTTTTCTCGATGCACAAATAAAAATGATATTTCGTAGAAAATGCATAAACTAATTGTGCGATTCTTTTTATGAGTGTTTTATACTCGTTACTGTGTAGTAATTGATAACTAACGTGACAATATTAATTACTAAGGATTTAACGCACATATCACTTTTTCTCTTAAACAGTAACGTAGTCATCCTATTTTACGACGGATAGCTGGAAGCTTCTCACCCAAATGCAAGATTCGCTTTGTATTTCGATTTCGATTAAGTGCTATTAACCCTCTATAGTATTTCATTCTTTCTATGGTTTAGGTATCGTAACAATTAGAATAATCGTGTTTGTGTCTTTATGTTAAAAGAGATTTACGCATTTATGATTAACTGTTAAAAACATTTACGATAGATTGTTAAAGGTGTGAGCTGTAGCAACTTTCGAGCCAAGTGCTAACAAAAGGAAAATGATCTGATAGCTCTGACGATATAGAGAATGCAATTTTTTAACCTGATTTAATCATTTTTCATTATTCAACGTTATAAATCTATAATATATTCAGGCCATTCGAAACTTTATAAACTTACGTAGCAAAAACTGACAGTCTTCCAGACGTAAGTTGAGTCCTTTCAGAAAATAATACCAACGTTCCACTAGAATTGTATCCAACCTCAAAGATGGTCTAAGAATGCAACTAATATAGCGGCGGCTCTTTGAGCGTCTGGTGAAGCTAACTGCAATACTGACGAAATGTTGAAGTTATTCGCGAAAAAGACACAGCTTACACTCGGTATTGTCTAGCAGCACGCAAGATTCTAGGCTATAAGAGCCTCAAAGACTACGCATACATGTCTAATCCCCTTTTCAATAGAAACGCTGTTTCCAGCGCAAGGCAAGTATCACAATTTTTAGATGTACGCGTAACATCCAGATTCTCGTTAAATTCGTTCACCTCCATTTATTTCACTTCCACTTTTTAGTCGGAAATCCGTTCGCGCTGAATTATTCAGTTACGTTCGATGATCACTCTACGCACAACCAAATACTAATCACGTGGAAAAGGTCGAAAGCTAGCGATTGTTTCACGCTCGAATTGCGTCGAGAGAAGTCGAATCAAAGATGAGGGTAAAACGGAAAGGTGTATCGAGTCAACGTAGTAAAAAGTATAAAAAAAAAAAGGCCCACGAGTTTAAAGACGAAAAATGATAGTCGTACGCGTCTCTAGCTTCATGCATCGATCAGTGAGAGCTCGATCAATATTAAATGCATTGTCCTCTCTTTTACCGAAGAGCGAAGCGCAATGCTCATGGAATCGATCGCATGAAGCTAACCAAAGCGTGCGTGCATCCCGCCCATCAGCAAGATCTGGTAACTTAAGTCGATGTCTCTGGTCCCCGTTCTCGAGATAATACAGCAAATTATTATATTATCACATTCGTGATCAATTGTATTAATCACCAACGTGTTAATACACACGTATATATTAATATATAGATATTTATATATATAATATGTATATGTCTAAGGTACGCGTTACTCTTCGAAATCCGTGTCTTCAAATATAATCACGTCCGCTCCATTCTACTCGATTGAAACATGGAACGGAGCCTGTTTCGCTTCCCTGAATTATTATATCTTTGATACATTCACTACAGTTTTTGGATACTCTCAACTGATGTACAATATTGTTTCTCTTTTCTAGGTTCTCATTACACTCCAGTATGTAATTGACATTCATGAAAAAAAAAAAACGTGAAGATTGTTCTGGATTACTGGTGTTCTATTTTCTAACGTCTACGTATCTACGATCTTCGTGAAATCAGTACCGTTGCATACTGTGATTGAAATATTTCAATTATTCCGTGGCAGCGAAGCGTACGCTAAGTAATCAGCTTCGATAACGAGGTATCAAAGCTCTTGTGTTCCGTTCGACGTTTAAATCGTATTGAACGAACCGGACCTATTTTTCTTATCACGATCATTTCCACCTTCTTTCGTCGTTGCACTACAGCGTCGGACAGTGATCGTTGGCGCCGTTTCGTTTTCGATCGACCGACGTCTCTTCACAGCCGTTTCCGGCCTGTCCAACTTGCGGACCGTAGACAATTACCACAAACAAACAAAAAAAAAAAGTATTTAGCACGATGTCGCGTGCAGGTATGATGGTGCAACGAGGTTCTAATACGAAATTCTATCACAGTTTCTCACACTTGTTGTTTTCGTTGCGTCGCACTCTGATCGTTTTATCGTCGTCGATGCGATCCGATCTTTCGGTGCCGACCTTGAGATCCTTCGAATTGCAACCAAATCGGAAAATAAGCTTGGAATTATTTTCAAATCTCGAAATTCTTCCCTTTCGACATACACACAATACACACAAAGCACACACTATTCGAACAGTTGTGAATTCCACAGAGAGCAAATATAGCTCCGGTTCAACTAGTTTCGAACGCTTCGAATCGACTGGACTTTTTCTTAATGTCGCCGATATTTACGTATCTGTTCAAATACCTTTGGCACGTGACTAATACATTCGAAATGGGTATGGCGATATTATACGAATTCGCGATGATCAGTGCGTGTACAATGTCAGTCACTTAACATCGGCAGAACGCTCAGTAACCGAAAGATCGAGGTGTCTCAAGGTAACGGGCCGATGTCATCAGAAGAAGAGAAAAAAAGGAAAAAAAAAAAAAGAAGAAATTAAAAGAAAAGGAAACAAACTACGCGACAGAGAGAAAAGAAAGAAAAAGGAGAAGCAGAGAATCCTCCAACCTGACTGGCAGTGAAGTCAAGTCTTTTCTTCTTTCTCTGTCAACCTCGCACCTCGTTGGCCTTCGAAAGATCTCCAGAGGTCGACCTTGGACGGATCATTTCGTAAAAGCCGAATTGCATCTTCTTCGATAAATTTCGAACGGCTGTTTAACGACCGTTTCGGCGACGACGATTCTCTTCGATGATACTCTGTTAGCTTTCTCGTTCTCTTAAGAGGTTTTTGATAAAGTCTTGTCTTCTCTCTTCTTTTTTTTTTTTGTTTTCGTTTTCCTTCTGCTCTCGCGAGTGTTGCCGTTCTTTTGCTTTTTTTTGCTTTTTTCTTCTTTTTCCCCTTTTCTCACTTCGTTCCATGAGGTTTATTCGTGGCTTTTTCTTCTGTTTTTCGATTATTACGGAGAAGAAGACGATTCTTGAATGAAGAGTTCACTTCATCGAACTGGGATTCGCCAACGAGGATCGATCGGTTTTCGGACGCAATTAGGCCAACTACGGTATCCTGCGTTCTAAATCTTCGTGAAGCAGACTATTGTTGTTGGTTTCGTGCATCGATGCCGGGGATGCTTCCTCCGGTTGTTCACCGCCGCTTAACTCTAATTGGCCTGTGCTGTCGCCGCTGCTGGAGCCACACTCGCCGTCGACGAATCTGAAATTCAATTGTCCCGTGTTATTTTTAATCGCTCCGTTCTCACAGCAGCCTTCGCGTTCGTTAAAGGATTTTAAAGACGTACAGCGTGTCCCGTTCAATTAAAATCCAATAAATCGGTGTACACATTCGTATCCAAGCTTAGCTTACTTAATATTGCTTTGATAACTGTTACTGGAGTATTTTTTCTGCAACGCAAATAATCTGTTATATTACTTAGGAATTAACTGCAGTAATCTTACGTTAGTCGTAATTATTATTGGAACAAGAGGGAAAAAAAAATCAGGCTTTTAATCACCTAATACAGGAAGTATTTAACGTCGTGAGTGTACTTCTCAATGAACAAAGGTGTTGCGTGAAATGAAGAATTATTCGAGCAAGCGATTCAAGTTTGGTATTTTAAGCAGTGCATAATTCAAGATACGTGGCATTGTCCTATTTTCTTTCTTTCTTTAACTTAAATAGCTTATCAATGTAAAAGATGGCGGTTCGTTTAACCCTTTCGTGATCCGTGGGACGCGTATGTACGAGTGCTCGAAGAAAACTTGATCTCGATTCCTGACGATCGGTAAATAAACGAAAAATTGAAAGAAAAATTTCGATCGCGAAAGGGTTAACACACGTTCGCTGCCGCTGTCGAAACATTGTCGACACAGAATGAGACATGCCCTGTGTCACTGTCGGCACTGTGTCAACGACTACCACCGCGAAAAAGCACGCTCGCGATTTTCTTTCTGACGGCAGCGAACGTTTTAAATGTCGCGTATGCGTAGTACATATATACATACATAATTGTAACATTTTGCGTTTAATCGATCGAGATATAAAGTTCACGGTCTCGTGAATCTTTTACGTTGAATATCGTATACGCAGCATATGATTTATCAGAAACAGAATGTTAAAGCATACTTTATTTTCTCGTTAGAGATACAGAGGAACATTTAGACAACGTTAAACGTATTCCCGATGAGGTTAACGGCGTGTACGAAGATAATTTTCACGAGAGATCGTCTCTCTCCGGGTAATTCAAACGATCGATGTTTCTTTCGGCAAACGCAGCTTTAACACTTCGTTATCTGCGCGGACGAAAAGTTCAAACAATTCGAATAATCCATGTGTGCACGTTTTGGTTCGCGATTCGAAAATAAATTGCGAAAATAAATGGTCGAAGAAACTCCTTGTGGAAAAAGCGTTTAATCGTGAAAATCGATTTGAATGATTATTAATCCAATAGTGAAATAGAAAAAAAAAATTGGTTTAGAAACGAGAAAAATTGTCGGAAACACGATTTACAAAATTATCCGATTTTTATCCCGGCCAGTTTTTTCTCATTCCTTCAACGCTGCAAGAAATAATTGTGTTTTTCATTTCTGGCAGAGTACGTTTGTATATTTACTCGCATGACTAACTCTCGCTGTATCTAAAAATGATCAACGCGAGGCGTATCAGGTTTAAATTCAGTTAATTCGCCGAATAGATTGAACGTTCTGTTTTTTTTATCGATCATTTTTTCGCAACTTTCTAAACGCGGTTTATTTGAACATTTCGACGCTGCGACGGTTATTCTTTCTCGCGAACATTGTTCTCAGCGATCCTGTCTCGTAATTTGTACCACAGGAATCGTAGACGTTGCTCGCGCATTAAGATACGCAATGAATCATAGAGTGCAATTAATTGTCGTGGCCTTGTGACATGCGCGCGAAGAAAAAAGGAAAGAGAAAAAAAACGTAAACATGAAAAAAAAAAGTATCGTAAGCCTATCTCTTGTTTCCTTTCTCAATGTACCGTTGATGAGGCTTGTTTTCGCGAACGACACCAGGCTGTCGGCTCCTCTCCAACCAGATAAATCGAGTTATCGCGATTTATCGCGGCTACCGAAAACTTTCAAATTTTCTGTTCGATAATTATTTCGAATATTCCAACGAGTGTTGTGTAAACCCGTAATAGACGTTGAAAGTATCGAAATTCTTCTCAATTTTTGCTATTTATCGTTGCTAATTATTTCGAATATTGGAATGAATGTGCTGTGTAAAGCCATAGTGGACGTTGAAAATATTGAAATTGATCTTCGGGTTTTTTTTTACCTATCGTCTTCTTATTTTTTTTACTAACTTTTGCTGTTATCAAGTTTATGTTTCTTTGATATTATATTAAAAGTTTATTGTCTAGGTTCATACGACGCGCTGGTAACAGAAATTATTACATATGAGGTCCTTGGGTCATTTTTGACCCAATGTATAGTCGAACGAAAGAACGTACTAGGGTTAAATGGATCATTTCTTAGAATGGTAATTATTCAAAATATTGGAACGAATACTGTGCAAAACATCGCCGTCCTTCTCAATTTCTATCGTTTATCGTCGAACATTTTTCTTTCTTTCAAATCGATCATTTCTTCAAATCACGAAACGTAGTTTGCACGTGTCACCCGACCGACTTTTGATATCATTTCATATTTACCGATGTTGCATTTCAACATCTATGATGCAATTAAGCTGCCGCGATGCCATTATCTTATACGTTATCTTATAATTTCAATGTTCACGTGTTTTTTTCCTGCGCACAATTTTTCGTTACATTTCGTCGATGATCGGGCGCGGGAAATCTTTACAGTCTCGCGGCGATCGAATTAATTCGAGCCCTCTGATTCGCGTCCTCCGATGGAAATAAAAAAAAAAAAGAAAGGAGAGAAAAAAAGGGTGATCGACGGCGTCGTGAAATTTCACGAAAACCAACGATAAATTTCAACCAAAGAGATGCAACGAAGTTTTCAGTTATCAGTCGAAGTTAATTTACTTCAGCAGAATGAAAGATAATGTTAGCCAGAAGAAGTATACCGACAGTGGATAAAAAGCAAAGGTCGCCGATAAAATATTGTCTTCATTTTTGAACGTCGCGTCGCCTCGATGTCCGACGAAATGTTAATGAATAATAACGAATAGTATCCTGTTTCGGGCACGCTCGGAAGGCGCGAATACACGCGCGGGCACACGCATTATTCCAAGTCCATAAAATCCCGTCTATACGTTTGTTAATGAAGACATTTCGATTGCACCATTTAGGGTACGGCGAATGCAATCGCCATGAAATACGAGATTTGCGGCAACGATTCCGCCGTACGATCGGAATATAAATGTTCACGTAACTAATTTACTTGGTATGCATACCTTCCACCGGTATTAACAACCAGTGTTCGCCGTTAGTTTTGCAATTAGAAAATAGCGTTACGGCCGCGGATATTTACAAGCCATGAAGGAAAGTCGGGACAAGAGTACGGGGGGGGATCGTCCACGTTGCTCGAGAAGTTTATAAAATTCACACTTCAGTTGTGAAATTCGAATTTTTACGATTTATGGGAAATTGCAAAAGTGATCTGATACATTCAGCATTACAGTTTCCTTCTTTATCCTCTACAGGCCGATTTTCCTTCGTTCGCGAGAAGAAAAATTTGGGTCGATTTTTCTTTCACACTTTGATGGGATAAGCAAGAATAAATATAAAAAGTGTAATAATTATAAATTTTTTAAATTGTAATTATTATGAAAAATAGGTTGGTAATAATTTATTTAGTTTATTAATTATTTCAATGAATAAATGAAATATAGACAGATAGAGGGTTAAGACAATTTTGTAGTTGACTCGATGTTCTGGTAACAGAGCGAACAGTGGAATATTATTTTCGTTATCAGTGAATCGATCAGAGTTTTACTTATCGGGAATTTCTGGAATTTATTAGTTTAACGTAATAGCATCAGAATTTTTCTTTTCTTACGTTCTGTAAATTTAGAAGATCATCTTCGATACCTTAATTCTTTTTTCGCTTACTTAAAATTTTACTTACTTTTACTTTTATTAAAATAACTATTTCAGTCCACGTTTCGTATTTTGCTTCATGAAAAAAGGTGACTGCATTGAAATTAGCTAATCCAAAATTTTCGAATGTTAATATAGGTACATGTTTGAATTAAACCTTGTAAAATTTCTATTTCAGCCCCTATCTTAGTACACGTACCTACCTTAATACACCTGTACACCCTATCTTAATACACCTACTTCTTCTGATAACAATCATGCGAATTGATTAAATGACATGTCGATATTATCGAATTCGAGCACTTGTCTCAAGGATTTAAAACGTTTTAGTTTATTCGGAATAAGTAACGTGATTTACGGTAACAGTTATTTTGTTAAATATCGGGGAAACAAAACGTTAAAGCTTCTCTTTTTTCCAGTAGTACGGCTGACGCGAAATTCGTTTATATTCGATTACAATTTTTCGTTATTTATTTACGGATTTTTTAATTAAGATTTTACGCAGCATTTATTCAGTGTCGTTGGAATATTTTAAACAAATTCTAGGCCTCTCAATTGACAAATTAATCTTACGCGTAATTTTAGTATTGAACAATGTAATATTAAAATGTAATTAAAATTTTTCATATTTAATATTAAAATACGAAGCGTTAAATTTTCAAATTTTTTAATTTGAAATTAAAATATTCAATATTAAATTTTCAATATTGAAGTATTTCTACATTAAATTTTCGAAGACAACGTTTCGAAGCTAATCGTTTCTAGCGTTAGTAAAAAAAAAGAAAAGAAAAGAAGGGTGAGACAGTATTGTTTAAATTTTATAACGTTTCCCGCTCCATCGATAGAATGGAACGATAAATGAAACACGAGCAGGATATTTGGAAATATGTAAGTATGCGAGTGCAACGGACGAGAAAGCATCGAGGCGTTGAAAGAACGGTGAAAATGAGGAAAAAGCGGTGCATCTTTGAACGTTTAATGCCAATCGGACATTGTACTCTAACTCGGCTACGTAGACGTGTACGACATTCGAAACGTCGATCTCTTATAAAAGCCGATTTATTCCAAGAATCTTCAAAATTTCTAATTAGAATATCCCTATAATCAAAACGTTTCACTGTGAAACAGCCAATTCTTAAAATGTGATCAGAACAGTAATGTCACGAAACAATACACATATAAACAATCGTCACAAATTAGTTTTCTTTTTCAAAGTGTAATATATTCAACGTAAAATTATATCATAGTTTTGCTGTACGAATACTCCAGAAAACGAACTATTTCATTATTTAGCTTTCAAGCAACATTCTAATATACGAAATTTGAATATCTGCACACACACATATCTTTATCGACAGATTATGTTTGTCGTCAATTACTTAGAGCATTGAGGTAAAAAAAAAAAAGAAAAGATTACGCAATAGTTCCAATGTCAACCATGTGACACTAATTCGTCGCAGAAGCTATCGTGTCTAATGTATTCTTATTAATTGTTCGAACTTTGTTTTACTTTTTCTTCTTTTTGCTTCTGTTTGTTTTATCGCTACGTATGGAACTCGAAACGAGTGTATGTAAGTATATACATATATATGTACATACGATTTTGATAAAGTTTACTTACGTGTATGGTTGCTCCTCGCCGCGCATTTCACATATGACGTTTGTCAGGGCCATTATGTAATTCTTGGCCAACGTAAGCGTCTCTATTTTGCTGAGTTTCCTTTCCATTTTTACGTGCGGTATCACTTCGCGCAGTTGCTGAAAATGATAACATTGTTGCCGATAAAGACGATACTTCAATTACACCGCGAGTTGATCGTTTCGGAGAAATCGTGTTTGTAACGGAGTACTTCGCGTTCGATATATCTGAGAGAACGAGACCGCACCGTACAGAAAGTTTCGTTTCTTTGCCATTTCTCTGACGAGGGGACATCCCGAAGTGATAATTATCCATATCGATGAAACTTTGTATTATAAAAAGTATTTGACACGCATTTCTCTTTATTCGGCGAAAATCGCCCTCGAAAATTATCAAAGAGAGAGAAATGGTGTTAGATTTGGTAACATTTTTAGTTTTCAAAAATTGTATTTGGTCGAAATTACAGATTATTTTTTATTGTGCAAATTTGTCAACGTGGACGATTTCTGACATAAAAGAATACGTGTATAATATTTTTTTGAGAACTACCGTATACCAAGGTTTCATCGAAATCGGTGATTATTAATTTAGAATGTGAAATGTTTCTATCTCATGCTCCCTCTATCTTCCAACTTTTCTGTGTTTTCTCGACGTTCCCCCGAGAAAAGATGGCTTTTCCATAACGCAAAGCAACGAGCTTCAGATAATACTACATTAAAAGAAAAAAGAAGAAACTTCGGAAGTCTAAACTTTGCATATTACGTTCAGAAAAATTGCGTCGAATACTCATTGAAAATGCAATTTCTGACAGATGTAAGGGAATGCTTGTGTCAATTTTTAAATAATCGAATTTATCGTCAATTTCTACTTAATACATTAACAATTTCACGAATTTAACAATTCAACTCACGAAAACCTGGCCGTGGAGTACAGTTATATTTGTAACGCGTGAAAAATTACCTCGAAAGCGTCATTTAGGGAATGCATTCTCATTCTTTCTCTCTCGTTGCTTTCGAGCCTCCTGAGGTTCCTTTCCCGCGCGGAAATTCCACTTTTTCGTCTCCTCGTCGTCGGTGGTCCTCCGCGATTTCTTCTTTTCGCTTGTTTCGGGCTTCTCTCACTCCCACTGCTGTCGCTCTCCTCACCCACCTTTTCAATCGTTCGAAAAAACCACTAATTAACTCTGATTTTAATTCTAATCAATTCTCGAATTACTTTACTAGCCTTAATATTTCTACGAAATTAAAACGAAGCAGCGTTTCGACAATAGAATGTAACAAGAGTAGAAAGAGATATTCATCCTATCGAATGCGTATGTTGTACAATATGATGGGCTGATAGACAAAAGTTAAAATACAAAACAAAAACAAAAACTGATTTATACAAGAATATTAATATTGTCCGGAATATTCGACGACGTCTGTTTGCTTTTAATAGACATACAGACACAGGTTGTGATTAGAAAAGTTGATTAAAGATCTCTTTTTTTCCACGATTTTTCAAAAAAGGTGTATCTCGTTGACACTCTTCAACACTTTACCGACGTATTTTCATTATAGTACATATACCCGATACCGATCGTTTCAATTACGTTAATCTATATCGTATTCTAATATGTATAAACTGGAAACGCAAGTTTCTTGTAGCGTAATAGATAAGATTATGATTTCCACGATATCTAGAATTCTGTTTTATTTGCTACACACCGCCTCATTGCTTACCGGGTTAATCAGATTCTTGGTCAGATTCCTCGTTTCAAAGCCGACTTCTGGTTTCGACATTTAGTTTGTATATTATTTCTTTTCCCCTTTTTTCGTGAAGAGTAGAGTAAGTGCTTATTCGAGCACTTACTTCCGTGTGTTGACCACGTTAATTGAATCGAAACTAAAATAATTATTATCACTGATCAATTGAAGAGAGATAATAGAAAGACGCGGTATCTTGTCGTACCGATACAGTTCGTGCAAATCAAATTGCCACTGACCGTTAAACATAGGTGAATCTTTTTTTTTTTTTGTTTTTCTTTGTATTTGTGTAAGTTTCTGCGAAAGTTATTGCTTCAAAGAATGGACACAGAAAAAGTGTAGGATATTTGCGAAATGTCAATGTGAGATAACTTTTATCTAGCTATATTTTTTTTCTTTTTTTTTTTACACATCCACTTCTCCATGTAGCGATTATCGTTTAACATTGCTTACTGCTTCTGTGCTTCATATCTAATCTAATTTAAATAGTATCAATAATTGACACCTTTCATCTTTACACGTTATCGATCATTGTTATTGCCCATTAGAAATCCCTGCTTTCTTTTTATATCAGATCTCGAGTATTCGATATTCTTTAGGCAGTGCATACACGAAAACAAAATACTCAGATGTTGTCAATAGATACATAGATCGATACATAAACGTCGATAAACTTTTCAGCGAGAATAGCAGGGAAATTAACAAACGGTAGTAATAAACTATGACAGTATACTCACAAAAAGAAAAGAAATCGAACTTCGTTCTTATATATTATGAGAGAAAAAAAAACAATGTTGCACTATTGAAAGAAATATTGCACGCAATTTTTCTAATTATTTCGTTAATTCTTCACAGATAGTGGAATTGCAGGTAACTAGAATTTAAACGACACTCGATTTAACGCAGATTCGAAGAAGTGCCTCTGTCAGCACGCCAGGCTTAATTACACCGAAAATAGAAGAAATGTCCTTACCTCCGCGCCAACGACATGATGGCGACTTCGTTTTCCGGTAAGCGAGTCGACGGAAGCGTCGTCCAGGTCGATATACATCTCCTGATCGCAGTCTTGATCGCTACCCGATAACCTCTCCAGGCTTCGCATTATCCTGAGGAAAGTTACGCTTTGGACCCCCTGCAATCGCATACCGTTGCAACATTAATCTTTGTCGAGTGTTCGAAAATATTGAAATACCTCTTAATTGTCTCAAATGAATCATTCATCAGTGATACTTGAACGTTTCATCGTGATTAGTAATTCTTATGTATCCGGTACATCGTTCTTCTGTACCGTTAGTTTTCATAGGAAGTATCCGTGTAAAGGAATCGATAATTCTGTCGCGTGATCGTGTGAGTTAAATATCGTTAATCGAGCTATTCTAGGTGTATTAATGTATAAGAATGAAAGTAATTCTCTATCTTGCTGTGCTAGCAGTTTATTTAGAAATGTATCTTTTGAAAATTTAGGTAGAAATACGGAAAGAATAAGAATCGAGGTTTAAATTAAGGTGGAAAAGTGTGTCGAAAAGCGCCAACAGCGCAGTGCGAGAAAATTTTCAAGGCGTCAATATCACAGTGCGAGAAAATATTCAAAACGCGTGTAGGCGCCTAAGAAACAATGAGAGAAAATATTCAAAACGCCTATAGGCGTCAAAGGCACTGTGCAAGAAAATTTTCAAGGCGTCAAAGGCACTGTACAAGAAAATTTTCAAGGCGTCAAAGTCAGAGTGCGGAAAAATTTTCAAAACGCCTGTAGGCGTCGAAGACACAACGCGAGAAAATTTCCAAAGCGCCTATAGGCGTTAAGGACACAAAGAAAATTTTTAAAACGCCTATAGGTGTGAAGGACACGGAGAGAATTTTTAAAGCGCCTACAGGCGTCAAGATCACAGTGAGAGAAAGTATTCAAAACGCCTATAGGCGCCAAGTGCGAGAAAATATTCAAAACGCCTATAGACGTCAAGGACATAGCGCGAGAAAATATTCAAAACGCCTATAGGCGCCAAAGGCACAGTGCGATCAAATTTTCAAAGCTGCTTCAAACACAAGCAAATCCCCCAAATATTCCAAATAGTAATTAACAATCGCAGATTTTCCACTCGTAAATAAAACACCATAGGCGCCATAAGTCGTAAATCTCTTATTCCGTAAAAATCCAACACGGAGTGCAGCGTACATACAGCCCTAAATGCAGCGACATCGATCGATCCTTCAGTTCGAGGATTTAATTTACAACCTCGCTATATCGTCATCAGTACTGCAACAATTTTAACGTAGACATCGACTACAGTCCCATTAAAATTGACTGCAAGTTCACGCGAGAACGTACGAAGATGAACGCGTACGCGGAAAGATTTTCGATAATTCCTTATTGCCACAGTCGTTGATTCTTAGCGTCAACTAAATGTAAGTTCAGCAAACATCGAGCGATTCCGTGAAGTTTGCACGGGTATTAACAGATCCTAGAGAGAAATTATAATTTTCGTATCAGACATTTGTCAGACTCCGCAAACATCTTTCTGTCGAATCGTGTTAGCTACGTATCTTTCTTTTTCGTCGGTCGTGGGAAGCACCGAAGGAAACACGGGAAAATCAGAAAGGTTAGGAAGGGTGAAACGGAGATCAATAGGGAAATACCGATGCAACGGGTAAACAATTGCTATATTGAAGAGATAAACGAAACGGGGGGATCTCCCTTTGCATGTGGTGTAAATATTTTAGGAGACAATCGAAGAGCTTCTCACACGAGAGACGTGCAAGTAAATGGAGATAATCGAAGTGGGATATACCCGTTCTCCCCGGCTCCGGTTTGATTCAATGCCAAGAATTCTTCGCACACAATTATGTCGCTCTGTACGTTTTACGATCGACGCGATTAGGTAATAATTGTGAGTATCAGCGTGGTAATGCACGAGTCAGTTATAGGTCGAGTATTATCGTGAATCGAACGCGGCATAACCTTCTAACTTCTGTGATTTTCAATGTTTGCGCTATTTTCGTTTTTTTTTTCTTCCATTTTTCTCTACTTTTCGATTTTCGTTGCAGCTTCAAATCGGATCAGATACTTTTTCTCTTTTATTGTAAACGGTATTTAGATAGGTATATTCCTTAACAAGGTTAATTATCTATAATTATTAGCTATATTAATTTTCTACAATTATGGTTTTAAAGGGCGAGTAAGATGGAAGAGATCAACTTTGTATAAATACCGTTTTTTTTTTTTCAAGGACACCTATGGTTTTTTTACACGAATATATATTTTTTTGAAATTAAGTTGGACTCCGAAATTTTAAATCAAATGTAAAACTTCCTTTACTTTTCTCAATTTGTCATTAGAAGAGACATTAAAAGATGCCATTAAATGTCATTAAAAGATTAATGTTCAGGGTTTAAATGAAATGATTAATAAGTTTCGAAGGAAAGTACATATAATTACAAATTTTTCGAAAGTCAACAATTATTTTAACACAAGTAATAAGTTTAGTGTGTATAAATAATTTTCTTATTAAAACAGATATTTTATATTTGTTATTTTCCTCTGGTGCAAATGAAAATTTCGTTATTAAAAGGTCATCCTTATCATAAATCATAGAATGTTCTCAGGTATACTGCTAGACTAGAGAGACGCACAAGCTTTCTTTAAGTTCAAATATCACCTGTTCCTTCAAAGGAAAAAAACCACGAAGAAAATATGGAGAGAAAGCCTGTTCCGACTGATGCTTTCTTCTGGATTGTCCAGTTGGATTTTCTCGCCGGGAAAACTGACGCGTAATAATGCCCCCTTTTTAGTTTCTCTGTTGGTTCATGTATCGAACTTCGATTCGCTGTTTTACCATTTTGGGTAATAATTAAGCCACTCGAAGATCAAAGTGACTAACTCCGTTAAATTGAATTTATTTCATTTTTGCTTTTATTTACGAAGTGTGAAGCACCCAAATATGTGCTTTGATATTAAAATTGGAAGAATTTGAAAAAGTGGAGTTAATTATTTTGGCTTTTTTCAGTGGCTCAATTTTCAAACTTTTTTCCATGGAATAAACGATATTGCTAGTTACGTGAATAATTATGAAATAATGGTGTTAATTTATTAGTAAAAAAGAACGCGACCTTCAACGTCCTATGCAACGAGTTTCGTACAATTATGTAAAGATATTTCCACATTTTCGAACGTAATCTGTTATCATAATCGTTCGTAATACGATGGCTCGTGCAGAATTTTCTAGCTGTAGGATGCAATAAAAAAATAACAGAAGGCAGCTATTATTTCCATACAATCTAGTATAGAGCATAATTGCACAGTGTGCGTATACATTGACGCGGATTGTCGCGAGCAGGAAACGGAATATTGTGGATCCTTTTTTTTTCCCTCGGTGGAATACGCTTCCTCTAGAAAAGTTGCGAGTGCAAAAGAAGAAGAAAGGAAGGAAGGATTCAGAAGGAAGATTACCTTCCGACACATGGATGTAATTTTATTTACACAGGATTTCGTCGTAACATTTTACAAAATTCACAGAAACTTCAATTTTATCGGCATTCATGCTTGAATTTCTTTTATTACTTCGTGACTTGATTTTCTTATTATATAAAAGTGTATAAGTTTGCAATTACTTGAATTTTCTTTTGGGAGAATTGCAAAATTTTTCCTGTGAGTGTTTTATCGTAACACGAGTTAGAAGGAAGTTAATGGTTAAATAAAAGGCGAAGAAACGATACTGGAATAAATTATCGCAAGGTAATTTAAATAATATTGACAACTGAATAAAGCAAAAAAGTGTTCAGCAACGAAAGAGTATTCAGTGTTTTAGCAAACAACAATTTCTGAATAAATGAACCTAACGTCTAAAAATAATTTCTAAATAAGTGAATTTAATATCTAAAAATAATTTCTAAATAAGTGAATCTAATATCTAAAAATAATTTCTGAATAAGTGAAACTATTGTCTGAAACGAATTTCCTAATAAATTAACCAAACGTCTGAAAACAATTTCTGAATAAAAGATCAAAATCCTTCCAATCGCGACGAGCATCGGTTGCACGCGAAAGAAGCAATTAAACTCGACGAGCTTCTACCCTCGGTCGAGTGTCACAATAAGAGATCCAGTGTGCTTCAGCCGAGATATCCACTGGACTCAACAGTTCGAATCGCGAGATGCGTTCGAGCATCCTTCGATATTAATCTTCGTCGAATCTATCGATCAGATACACGTCCTTTTGCTCGTAGAACGGCGCAGATCGACATGTGGATCAATTGCACGTCGATCGAAAGAAAGAGAGAAAGGGATATTCGTCGATACACTCGAAGAAGAAAAAGAAGAAAAAAGATCATCTTTGTGATTATTTTTTCTGAAATTTTTCTTCTTTTTCTTTTTCTTTCTTCACGCCGTCATCGACCTCGGACCAGTAGTCCTGTTAACGATATTCACAGAAGGCATTCTTGCTCACGGCCAAGTGTGCATGCTCGAAGCTCGCGCAGCGTATAATAGCGCCTAATGCGAATATATTCTGCGACTTTATTAATGACGGGGACGCGGCGTGTCACGTGGTGCCATTACACCGTGCACACACGAGATTAATGTGCGTGTGTGTGTGTGTGTGTATGTTACGTTACCAGAGTTATCTAAGTCGGGCCGCGTGTCAAGTCCTTCGGAGTCGGACGTGCGTCTATTCATTAGCGATATAATGCGCTGGATTATGTTATTACCCCACACACGTGGCAATCGTCGTACCACGCGGTCATTCGCTATGAACTCCTTTTTCACGAAGGCGTCAAAAGAGGGGAGAAACTGAAAGAAGAAGAAGAAGAAGAAGAAGAAGAAGCGGAAAAATTACAGCAGGAAGAAGAAGAAGGAAGCTGACGGATCGAAACAAGAAAAGGAGAAGTGTGAAAAGAAGGAAGAAACAGGAAAAATTGCGACTGAACAAAGAAGGAAGAAGCGGAATAATTAAAGCAGGAAGAAGAAGAAGAAAGAAGCCGAGAGATTGAAACGAGAGGACGAGGAACGTAAAATGGAAAAAGCGTAAAAACTGAAACAGGAAGAAGAAGAAGAGCGTAAATAGAAGGAAGAAACTGACAAATTCAAACTGAAAGAAGAAGAAGGAAAAGGAAGAAACTGACAGATCGAACCAAGAAGAAG